AATGAACTTCTTGTATAATTGAAGATAAAGATAAGGATGGCCATAAACCATCAAAAGCTATATGTACTTAGGTGGGTTTCATGGTAAACATTACCGAAGCAGAAACGAAAAACCGAAGTTTGCGCAAACCTTATACTATTGGTGGTCGTAAATTGTCCTTAGCTTACGGAGGATGGAGGGAGAGGGGGGAGAGGATGCGGCGTTCTACTGAAAAACCACGAAAACATGCGACATACAAAATAAGCAATGGGAGCCCCTGAGCTCTATTAGAGAGATATGGCCACGCTGCGGTGATATGGCCCGCTTCAGAGTCGACGAATTCTCAATCCAAACGGCTTTCGACTCAGCTCGGCGCGGCGCATCTTCTGATACATAGAAGTGCCTGTTTGGACGCAGTAGGAGGTCCTTATTCATTGCATTCACGCAATATACCGCAAGTAAAAATCTGGAACGATTCGTGAAATCTGGCCCCTTCTACTGTTCAAGCAGGCACCTCATAAATCAGAAGTTGCGCCGCGCCGAGCTGAGTCGAAGGGCGCCATTGGATTGAGAATTCGTCCACTTTAAAGCGAGAGATGGCCACGCTACAGTGATGCCACATGAAGCGGGCGACTTTGCGTCGTTTTTCCAAAAGTTACGAGGGTTATTGTATGAGTTCACGGGTAGACAGGTAGGCAGAACAGTTTAGTTTAGAGCGCCTTCGCGGACAGCTGGTCCTGGAACGACATGAAACGATAATGCAAAAGGACGTTCGTTCCCTTAGTTCACCTGAGTTCACTTGCGTAGCAACTAAAACAAGGGACCAACTTTAGAGGCTAGAAAAAAATTATTATCTTGAGTACACCAGCTCTGTTTAAAGTCAACGGGAAGTACTGCAAATGAAGTCCTTGAAATCCCAATGGAGACTTCTCGAAGACTCACTTGCAGAAGTTTCCGAAAACTTTGGATTGACTTCCAGAGTTGACACTGAGAGTGTTCTCCCAAAGTCCTCGGGGAAATCCCCGCAAATCTTCTGACGTGAGGTAGAACGGTGTCAGGTTTGAAATAGAGATGGATGGCTGAACCATGAAGCTCGAATGCTCTGGTGACGATTTATACAACTACGGGAATTTTTGAAGTTTAAGCATAAAAAGAGCGACCTTTAAAATGGTAAATAACTTCATGTTTGTTTAGTAACCAAATATATCCCAAGTGACGCTTTTTGTGACAGAGTGTGTTTCAAATAGTAAATATTGATATGATGGGTTCTTTACGCCTGTTTCGCCTCTACCCCTATACAGGTTACTATAGTGTTAACCACTCCCGAGGCTCGTCAGTAGGGAAGAGTGGTGCACTGGGACAGAGTGGTTTAAGGGGGGTATTTATACATGAGGGGTAGAGCAAATAGATCAAAAAAGTCAAAAAAATCAGCTGAGTTGCATTTTTGTGAGCATTTTAGTAACAAAGGTTTTAGTGTTTTTGAAGGATTGTAGTTGCAAATACTTGTATGATATGTATTTATTTTTATTCAAACATTTGATCATGGCATTAGAAATGATGTTGGGAGTGTACTGTAGTGTTAAAAGTTGATCTATAAGTAATTCTAGTCTTTCAACAAAGTTTTCAAATTTAGTACAAGTCCTATAAATTCTCAAAATCTCACTGTAAATAATTGCAATTTTGACATTCAGACTGATATGTGATCCTGAATGAGTAAATTTGTTAACTTTGAAGTTGAAGCTGTCCGTTTTGTTATATTGAGTTGTGATAATTCTGCCTTCAACTATACTTATTTTTAAATCCAGAAAATCACATTCGAAATTGCTACGGTTGGTGCTTTTCAGTTCGAGAATATTTTTATAAGTAATTTGTAATATTGCTTGTATTTGTGATTGCTCCATGTTGTGTATGATCAATAAATCATCCATGTACCTAAAAGGTATGAAAAGTTTATGAGATTTTTTATGAGTAGAAGCACAAGAATATTCCATATATGACAAAGTCAAATCTGCTAAAATTGGGCTAACACTGCTTCCTTGTGGGACACCCATTTTTTGTTTGAAAATGTGGTGTCCGACTTTACAGTAGCTGTTTTCTAGGAGGAATTGAGTGAGATACATTATATCTTCTATTTTATAATTTCTAAAATTAGTTCCATTCAGAGGTGTATTAGAGTAATGTAAACTTTTGTTTTTGCTAACAATGTACCTACTATTACTATTCTTAAAACATATTTTGAGTATAGCGTTTATGTTTTTTAAGATAACATCATGTGGAATATTAGTAAACATGTTTGTGAAGTCTGCGGAATAGAGTTGCAAATTAGTGTCTACTATGTTACTAAGAATGTATGAGATATTTATATCATTGATGGACCAGTACGTTGGTAAGCAATTTTTGTTATTGTATACTATATTTATATAATTTTTAAAATGTGTTTTCATAAAACATAAAATGCGCATAAGTTCTTCTGATAAAGGCTTGATACTGCTGTTTCTTGCACCAGTTATAAATCTAAATTTTATTGGATTTTTATGAAGTTTAGGGATGCAATAGATGTTAGGAATAATTCCGTCAGTATTTGGTTTTAGGTGAAGATTAATGGCTAGGCTGTTATGTCTACTAATGATATCTTGAACATTAATTTTACCCAAATAATCGTATACTAGTGTGTCTTGTACGTCTCTTTGAAGATTCATTTCTTTAGTTAAAATGGAAAGATAAAGCTTTTTACAAATAATACCATAATTAGAGCTAGCTTTATCTAATGGGCAAAAAATAAAGAATTTTTGTAATTGTCTGATATTAAAAAGAGGAGGGGTTAAGTTTTTATTTCTAGGGTATAACAATTTATGTTTAATTCTGACAAAGGACTGGGTTAGTATTTCTAATATTTTGCTGGATATTGTATCAGATAAGGAATGTCTAGTTTTATGTTTGTTAGTGATTGTCTTAAGTAAATCAATCCATAAATCGTAAATCTGTTTTGGACTAAGGTTAGGGGAATAACGGAATTTTGTTCCTTTGCTTAGTATCTCATAAATAGGTTCTCTTTCAAAAATATTAATATCTCCTGTTACTACATGGTTGAAATTGGGATTTACAAATTGTTTGTATGAATTGCAGTCACAAGGCATGTTATTAATATCGAGGTTTTGGAGACTATTGAGAAATTTGTTATAATTAAATATATTTGTGGATAGGTGTTTATTATATTGATAAATGATTCTAATACGTTGATAAGGTTTTTGGCTATGTTGTTTGATCAAATGTGTTATATCTTTATTGTTAATAAGCTTATTGATGCTAATCTCATCTAGAACTGTACTATAATATGGGAATCTAATATTAATGAGAATGGGTTTTTGGTTAGTAGAATTGGTTCTGCTAAAGTGATAATGACACAATATGCAGCAGAGTGCTTGCTTGTAATGAGTAGGAATGTTTAGAGCTGTAGTATTAAGTGTAACGAGGTTAATAAGAGAACTAATGTAATATTTATTTTTATTTTTCAGTACTTTGTAAAGGTCATAATATGAAGGATTACTAGCAATCAATTGTTGTAATTCTTCTACTATAGATTGAGCTCCCTTCTTTAGTTTGTTTTTCTTTTTTCTTTTATTACCACGGTTATTTCTGACTTTGGTTATGTTCAGATTGAAAAAAGGATGATTGCTTTTGTGGTTAAGTGGGTTACTTATCATAGTTAAGTTACCATAGCCTTTGATATTATCATTAAATCCAAATGGCATGGCTGTCATAAGTAATTTTGTCCAAAATAATTCTTTACCTCTCAGAATATCAGTGTCTTTATTTTCTAGAGAGTTATCTAATATAATGGCCTTTATATTACTGTCACTGTTACATGTTTTAAAATGTTTATATAAAAGTTTATTTTCTTCTTTTCTTTTGATTCCACGTAAATGTTCTTTGAACCTAATACCAAATTCTCTTGTAGTTATACCTACATATTGCAAGCCACAAGTTGAACACATTATACAGTATACTACATTTTTTGATTTGCAATTAGCTTCTTCGGATTTATAAGTCTTGATTACCAATCCAGTTGTTTTTGATTTGATGTAGTTGTCATGGATAAGAAAGTTATGGCATATACTACAAGATGAATTACATGCATAGCCCTTGTTTTCGGTACCAAAATGCAATAGGTTGTATTCGCCATTTACCTTACTCCTAAGGAAAGATGTGACCTGAAAGTAAGAAGATGAAGTGAGACATGTATGCGCATTTTTGTTTTTAAGCCTAAAATCTAAGGTAAAGAATGGCTTAATCCCATACCAGAGGGAAGGTTACACTAGGTTTCGGAAGGACTGCTTCCAGGGGTTGGCGCTCCCTAAAGAAAGTAATACACCGGAGGCGCAGTACTTACCCTCCCCTGCCAGTAGCTACTTGTATTGACCCCATCGGTAGTATTACTGTAAAAAGCTAAAAGAAAATAACTGAATGGAAAAAAGGTTTAAACTAACCAGCCCGTAAGGTAACAACCTGTCCCCCTATGTTTTGTTCTTAATTTTTTACAAAAAAGGGAAGTTATCAGCAAGGGCTTATTTATGTTTGCCTTCCCTTGATGGTTACATCTAGTTAGGTACTGTAAAATCCTTTTTTATATAGTATATCTTTGTGTGTACAAAAACTCGCTATAAGGCTGACGGGTAGCTACGAAGTGCATTGATAGCGGGTTGCTACGAAATGATATGATACGAGTCAAAATTATTTTTTTGGGTAGGATATTCAGTGTTTTCCATTGCTCATTAACGTCCCCGTGTCTTTTAAGTTTTAGTCTAACAATTTTTTGATTATTGCTCTAACTAACTAAATGTTTAATTCTTATAATTTCAATGTCGTTAGCACCTAACTAGATTGTATATATTAAATAATCACATATATATCTATTTTAGATTAGGATAATGGATATGGAAGAAAGAAAGGAACGATTTGCGGAGAGTGTCAACGTACGTGTCTTGCAAGAATACATTAAAATTATAAATTTGCCTATACGCATGAAAAAGAACTTTGACGTCCTGATCGAAGATATACAAAGGATATTAGGGTAAGTTAGAGAAATATTGGTTTGTATCAAAGTTACATAAATATTTCTAGGTACGATGCGCATGATGATAGGCATCCCATGGGGTGGCCACGTCCGTGTGGAATTGGTTCAAATACTTTCGCAATAAGCGTAAGTAGTGTTTAGATTTTTTTTTTTCCCCTCCGAATAAGAATGATTTTATTTTTAGGTCAAGGCTACATATGCCTTTTGGCGTTGGTACACAGGTATTGGAAAAGAGGTCCTGAAAGAATATAACAAGAAGCACGGGACCAACATACTTCTACTGCAGGAGCAAACGATACGTCAAACAGATTTGAATAGACTGTGGTAAGTATCCAGTTGCATCTAGTTCACCCTTGCCAATTATTGATTCGTAGCCGTCGAAAATCGTGCTATTTTCTTCTGGTAGACTACTTTTGGCTGTGAATCGTTTATTCTACTGCAGTTGACCCATTTTTGCTAGAAAATCGTTCAATCTTTCAATCTTTCACCTTCTCGGTTGGAGACTGTCAACCTGACCTATTTCGATTCGAAACAGTTCAGTTTTCGTGTTTTGGTATTCTTTTTGTGTTGGAATCGGTTGTTATGGTTAGAATAAACCATATCCGTCTTATTCTGTGCAAGGTCGTAGATACACATGTAGTCAGAATTCATGACGATGAAATCAGCCGTCCCAAAGTCCAAGTTCGTAATTGCATCTATCATTACACCAACGTCTGATTGCTTCTTCAGTTCATATGTGTTTCATATGGACGGACTTTGCTGCAGTTTGCACAAAATGGTTTCCTAGTAAACCATAGTAGTAGAAAATCATGCCATTTTCTTTTGTTTTACTACTCATAGCTTCGAATTGTTCATTGCTATTCTTGTTGACCCGATTTGCCAGATAATCGTTCAATCTTTCTCACTGACCCTGTTTGGCCGAAAATTGTTCAGTCTTTCACCGTTTTGTATGAAAATCACCTCGAATTCACTAATTTTGACTCGAATTCGTGCCATATCCGAATATCTGTGTTTTGGTATTCCCTTGAAGTGTTAGAAGGGTCAAGAAGTACCTTAGTTGGAGTAAACCTTTTCCGTCGTACTCTGTGTAAGGTCGCAAGTACACATTCAGTCACAAATCATAATGAAATTTGACCGTCATGAAAACTAAGTCTGTAATTACATCCATCATTACACCAAAACGTCCTGATTGCATCATCAATTCAAATGTTATCATTCAATTGAAACTATATTGCTGCAAATCGTCAAATTTTTCTTTGATGGATTGCCTGAAGTTGAAATTCGTATTATTCTTTATTGATTATTTTTGGCTGTGAATCGTGTACCTCTATTCGTATTGACTTATCTTTTTGGCAAAAACGTTTAGTATTTCACCTTTTTGAACGAAAATCTTTCCTTTGACTAAACTGGATTGGAAATTGTTCATTTTTCTCCCCATTTTTTCATCATCAGCTGAAATTCGTTCATTGACTCCCATTGTCTGGAAATTCTTTGGTTTTTCCTCAAACTTTTCTTCCCGTTGCTTTGTAGTTAACAGTTTGCCTAGGTATTCCACGATTTTCATTAGTAATCGTTCTTTTGTCGGGCTATCTTTTGTAAACATCAATATTTTATAATGAATCTTTCAGTTTACTTCTACGTTTGCAAATTCGTCAGTGTTATCAAGCCGCACGAAAGAGAGGACCTGAAGTGCGTATTCGTAGGAATAAAGTTGAAATAGTGGGCCTGGGGATGGTAAGTGACTTTTTTTTTTTTTTTTTTTTTTATTTTTTTTATTATTGAAAGGCTTCTATTGTAACTTAGAAATTTAATTTCAGTACGACCCTGTCATCCTTGCCCGTCGCCTCAATTGGAAAGTACCTGGTTGGAACGGGACTCCACTTTCTGAATTACTGGATATGAAATTGAAGAAAGAAGAAGAAGTAAGTGGTCTCTTTCAGTGGGGAATAAGTGTTTAATGTTATAATTATGCAATGATGTATATTTCAGGAGGGAAAGCTTGTAATCGGTGAATTACTTTTACCTGGTTTGACCATTGAAGAACAAAAGGAATCTGTTGGGGATGGAAGCGCTGATATGGAAGTTGATGCTTCAAACAAAGAAATCTCGAATAAGGAGAATTATTCTGATGTGGTATGTTGGTAATTATATATCAAAATCAATATAGTTTTGTATTGCAGGTAAAAAAGAAGAGACGTTCTCAAGAGGATAGTACTATTCCAAAGAAATATAAGAAAGTATGTTTTTTTTTTTTTTTTTTTTTTTTTTATAAATATAAATTTATTCATTTATTTTAATTAATTAATTAATTAATTTTTTTATATATAAATATATATATTTAATAAATATTTGAAGTAGCAAGTAGATGATGCTGTTGCTTTCAGGTTGCCTTGTCGAACAATTCTGACCGCCCAAGCACTAGCAAGAGTTTCTAATCGGTTAGTAACTTGATAGTTTACGTTCATTTGTTTCCTTATTAATAAGACTGATTTAAGGTGCAACTGAACTCATGACTACTGATTCTTCTCTATCATTTATAGCATGTGGACTCGCAGTGATCTGACTTGAGATCTTATAGTAGATGCTCAGAATTTTACTCTTGATTAACCTGTTTTATCTGCTGACATAAACCATTTTGAGTAACTGTTTTATACTAATGATAGAATATCAGAATATGAGTGTTGGATTTGTCGATTGATGAATTGATATATCTTGCCAGTATGCTACTGTTCGGTCAGCGAAAAGATCTGCACGCTGACATTGATGAAACAAATACTTGTTATGGTTCAGTTATCCTATAGATGAAATGAAAGCTGATGAGTAGTTCAAATGAAAACTTTGTGAGTTGAAAAAAGGTAATGAAATGAAATTCCTAAAAGGTTGTGTAACTAGTCAAACAGTCTTAACGGGTAAGACGTAATTTTTTTGAGATTTGATGTGATTCATGTAAGAAAACTTTGCTATCTGTTGATAGCTGACCAGTTGGCCTAGAGTTGCCTGTTGGCTAAGTGGTTACTTGAATTATAACGGTTTACTTTAAATTTTTTCCAATAATAGGGAAACAGATTACCAACTAAGATTAGCTAGTGTCCCGGGTTTCCCTCTCGGACGCTAGTAATCTTAGTAGTTTTAAATAGTAAATATTGATATGATGGGTTCTTTACGCCTGTTTCGCCTCTACCCCTATACAGGTTACTATAGTGTTAACCACTCCCGAGGCTCGTCAGTAGGGAAGAGTGGTGCACTGGGACAGAGTGGTTTAAGGGGGGTATTTATACATGAGGGGTAGAGCAAATAGATCAAAAAAGTCAAAAAAATCAGCTGAGTTGCATTTTTGTGAGCATTTTAGTAACAAAGGTTTTAGTGTTTTTGAAGGATTGTAGTTGCAAATACTTGTATGATATGTATTTATTTTTATTCAAACATTTGATCATGGCATTAGAAATGATGTTGGGAGTGTACTGTAGTGTTAAAAGTTGATCTATAAGTAATTCTAGTCTTTCAACAAAGTTTTCAAATTTAGTACAAGTCCTATAAATTCTCAAAATCTCACTGTAAATAATTGCAATTTTGACATTCAGACTGATATGTGATCCTGAATGAGTAAATTTGTTAACTTTGAAGTTGAAGCTGTCCGTTTTGTTATATTGAGTTGTGATAATTCTGCCTTCAACTATACTTATTTTTAAATCCAGAAAATCACACTCGAATTCTCAATCCAAACGGCTTTCGACTCAGCTCGGCGCGGCGCATCTTCTGATACATAGAAGTGCCTGTTTGGACGCAGTAGGAGGTCCTTATTCATTGCATTCACGCAATATACCGCAAGTAAAAATCTGGAACGATTCGTGAAATCTGGCCCCTTCTACTGTTCAAGCAGGCACCTCATAAATCAGAAGTTGCGCCGCGCCGAGCTGAGTCGAAGGGCGCCATTGGATTGAGAATTCGTCCACTTTAAAGCGAGAGATGGCCACGCTACAGTGATGCCACATGAAGCGGGCGACTTTGCGTCGTTTTTCCAAAAGTTACGAGGGTTATTGTATGAGTTCACGGGTAGACAGGTAGGCAGAACAGTTTAGTTTAGAGCGCCTTCGCGGACAGCTGGTCCTGGAACGACATGAAACGATAATGCAAAAGGACGTTCGTTCCCTTAGTTCACCTGAGTTCACTTGCGTAGCAACTAAAACAAGGGACCAACTTTAGAGGCTAGAAAAAAATTATTATCTTGAGTACACCAGCTCTGTTTAAAGTCAACGGGAAGTACTGCAAATGAAGTCCTTGAAATCCCAATGGAGACTTCTCGAAGACTCACTTGCAGAAGTTTCCGAAAACTTTGGATTGACTTCCAGAGTTGACACTGAGAGTGTTCTCCCAAAGTCCTCGGGGAAATCCCCGCAAATCTTCTGACGTGAGGTAGAACGGTGTCAGGTTTGAAATAGAGATGGATGGCTGAACCATGAAGCTCGAATGCTCTGGTGACGATTTATACAACTACGGGAATTTTTGAAGTTTAAGCATAAAAAGAGCGACCTTTAAAATGGTAAATAACTTCATGTTTGTTTAGTAACCAAATATATCCCAAGTGACGCTTTTTGTGACAGAGTGTGTTTCAAAGTCCATCTAGTCACTTTCGGTTTAGATTCAGAAGAATTAAAACTCACAAAAGTGTCTGGGCTACCATTAGTTGACCCTAATATTTTTTATAAGCTTTGAGAGACTGGAAATACTATGGTTGATAAGGGCGAGGAATGGAGAGTAGTATGAACAACTCAACTTTTTGAGGCCTATCTTTCCTACTTGTGATTTGCGCCATCTTGGCACTACTTTGAGTACGGTAAGGCTCCACAGAACACCATCACCTCCTCAAGATGGCCGTTCATTTCTGGTTATGCTCTTACGCTTTTTTCAAATTCTATATCACAGTAATCGATTCTGTCGTACACAATCCGTCCTTCACCATTGGTAGTAGTCCTCAAAAGGTCTTCATATCAAACTATCAGCTACGAAGTCAACAGTCAGTCGCCCTTTAAAGGCAGCGTCCATCCACAATTTGGCCTCCCACATTTTCGTCATTCTGGGGCCTTTCCGTGGCTCTGATTATAGTTCCGAACTTCAAACTCTCCGAAATTCATTAAAAAAAAAACCCGATTCTTGTGGACCCTGTCTGAGGGCGCGGACGAGTTTCGAATCGCTCGTCCCCGTCAGCAGCCCAGCTGGAAGGAGCTGCAACTGCATGGGTGCAGTTGCGGCAGTGTGCAGTTTCTGCTCACTGCCATGTCAGTTCTCGGGAGGCCCTGAGTGAGGGACTTTCAAGCCCCTTATCTCCATTCAGAAACAACGTTAGAAGATCGGACCAGAGCAGATGCCCCTTTCTGGGGCCTACATTCGGGATCGACACTAATCGGAGGGGGTTAGGTTTAGCTTGGACACTGCCTTTAATCTGCGAATCCGCCAAGTTGGGGAAACTCTTCGTTGATATTTTTATCTTTCGCGAAGGTAACTCCTCATATGGAATAATCCTGAATGAAACTGCAACGCTTGCTGTAGTCTTGACGGCTATATTAGGGACTCACAAAAAAAACAGCTGCCTTCTTAAATAGAGCAAAACTCAAGATCTCCATACTCTAGAACACAGTATTTTGAAAAATTGGCAGTGTAGCTCACTGTAACTATAGAAGATACGATACAATATACGATATAACATCTATGTCTATATAACACTTGCTGGAATGCATACTTTACAAAGCTGTAGATTTGAATATTGAGGAGTAATGGATAGTCAAGGCAGAACATTTCAACGCAAACAGGAATGTTTTATGAGAATGTTTTCTTGTATTTTCACTATACATGTGATGCTAGTGTGTTATTCCAGATTTGACGTCAGCTTCATGAAACACAGGGATTTTGGCAATTCAAGTAGTTGGCCATATCCTTAGCATATATGTGAAAAGGCTAAATACGGTTTGCTCGAGCATTTGAGCGAAAATTTATCTTTGAAATATCCGGAAAATATTAGATTGTTATAACTAGTGAGATATGCTTATAAAAATATGCTTAAGTATAAATTATAATCAGGTTAATAGATTGAGCAGTGTATAAGAAATTTCATCACTTCTCCGATTCAAAGTCAAATGTTGAAGGGCGACTGCATAACATTTTTTTCTCAGATAATTCCTCTTATAAATTTCTCAAACGTTATTAGTGAATGAAAGGGTTTGTCCAAATAGATACAGATGAATAACCCATGTGATTTCGTAGTTCAAGGAGTGCACAGTTTGCTTATTTGTCCTATCAGATAACACGTTGTTTTTAGGAATATAATATGTATCTTAGGAATATAATACGTATCTTCGTTGATCCAGCTAGATGACCTATGCTTGTGTTATAAAAATGGGCAGAATTACCGGTATCCAAATCACTTCTTCTAAAACATGTTCAGAATCCTAATTTATGGAACGGTTTGTGGCAAATTTCTTCTACATCTCGTCTTCAAGCTCAATCATTTTTAGGCATTGCTACTCTTAGCAACTGTTCATGCTGCACCAGCACGTATGTTCAATTTAAACGTACTCTTTTTTAGCTAAACAATGCTCATTTTTCCTTCATTTTCAGCCCTGGAACTCTACTCTGAAGCAAGGGTGAGATAAAATCTTATGGCACGATGACATCTTTGACTGACACTGCGACAAAATTGCGGGCTCAGAATCCTAGATAGAAGTTTGAGGACTTATTCACTTGCAATAAATTTTAAAACATTTCCAAAATTTAATAAAAAGTAAAATTTTGAAAAAAAGAATAAGCGCTAAACCATTGATTTTACCTGCTTTCAGAATTCACAAGAGGAGCTCAATATATCCGATGAGGAGATAGCGGTAAGTTATATCGATCAATATCATGATGAGTTCAGCTGCTAAGCTGCTTTTTTGCAGCCTGAAGAGGAGGCACCTGAGGCTGACGAAACTCCAGACGAGGAGGAGGCAGTTGAGGAAGCAGTAGAGGAGGAGGAGCCTGAGCCAGAGGCAGAAATCGAGGTACCTGAGCAAGAAGCGAACGTTGACAAAATACAGCAAAAAAATCTGACTGCACACTGTGTTTTTGTTAACTACTTATCTATATCTATATCTAGTCGAAAGAGGGGTGAATTACATTCAGGAACCTGAAGCTGAGGAAGAACTTCCTGTAGAAGAAGCAGAGGAAGAGGTGAGTTAGTAGGCAAAGTATCTGTCTAGTATTTGGATGGAGACTTTAAAAATCAGTACGCAGTTCAGGAACCTCCTGAAGAAGAAATTGTGGAGGAGGAACCAGAAAAGGTTAGTATGCAAATGAAGTTTGTGGGGCATTATCACTTGGGCGTAAACTTAGAAGGATCAATCGACTTTTCTAACTTTTTCCTAAGCAAGCTCTAATCAGTTGCGTGAAAGCAATAGAAAAGTGAAAAAATCTTTCTTGACAGTTTATGTATCCAGCTTGTCGATTAAGAAACAGATTTTACAAGTAGAAGAAGCCTTCTTTTTAAGTTGCACCAATATTGTGTGCAAGTCAAGTTGTCACTATTTAGGAAGAGCCTGAAACCGAAGAAGTTGAAGAAGAGCCAGTCCCAGCACCAAAAGCTGTGTCACCGAAAAAGGGAAAAAGTCTTGCTCCAAGCAAGACAAAGTCGCCCACGAAAAAGAACGCAAGAAAAGACAGGAAGGAGAATCTAACTGTAAAAGACAAGAAGAATATAAAGAGGAGCCAAGAAAAGCAGAAGCCTAAAGAGCAAAAGAAAAGAGAGAAAAAAGAAAAGATGGCAGGCAAAAAGCAGAGGGTCAAAAAGGTGTTCAAAAATGCAGCCACGAAGACAAAGAAAGCGCTTAGCAAAGGGGTCAACAAACTAAAGGTGATCCATTTTGTGCATTTATCACCTCAGTATCCATATATTGCTTATTGCAGAACCTTTTCAAGAGGAAGAAAGATTAAAACACACATGATATGTGTGGTGAGTTCCCTTACGCCTATCATGGCATTGTAACTACTTGCAAAGAAGGATTTTGCTCTAACAAAGTATAGATTCAAAAGCAGCACAAGCGCAGAAAATTTTGTTATGTTCTTAAGCAACAAATCAGTCGCAACGTTTTCAGGCTGCAACAACCGAAGCTACACTTCACTTTTATCATGGCAGCGTTTTCATAATAAATGTTGATTATTTTATTGTTTCACAACGAATCTATAAACACAAGAAAAACATAATTTGTGAGGATAATTTCTTACTTATCAAAGCTTGTTGATGACACGCATCCTGAAAATGGCAAATATTTCATGCAAATGTTGATCCGTTGACTAAAAAATGGCTCTCACTATTTAAAGCAAGCGGCTAATATACAGCTTGAGCTTTTAGGAGGGACTAGGCACAGGTTTATATTCTGCGTCAAAAATATCAGGCTGGTGCAAAAATGATGTCCTTTTTCCTAAGTTTATTTTCCGGATAGATTTTTCCATCAAAATTTTTTTGCGACAAAGATTTTGCACTGAGAAGCTATAGGGACGGAAATCGAAGCGAGTTGTAACCTCTCAAAAACGAGATTCGCAAAAGAAAAACTTTCGGTTGGACGCATGGTTTTCTTCCTGCTTGAAATATCAGTATAGGCAGGTGCGCGCTAAGTTAGGATGACTATTCTGATAATCTTGACTATATTCAAAAATATAGTTAAGAACAACTTATAGCTTTTCAAATCAAAACTCTGCAAAACGGAGATTTTTTTGCACCAACCTAATAGTAAGCGCATTTTATTGTTTTCATTTGTTAGAATTTCGGATAGAGAACTATACAGCTGTAGCGGTGGAATCCAGCCAAAATTGCGGAATTCAATTTGCGGGATTTAGTTATAACCAGGAAGCGGGGGGGGGGGGGGGTGTGGCACACGACCATCGGATACGACCTCCCCCCCTTGGGCCAGATCCCGGCACGACCCCCCCCCCTCACCCCTGCCCGAACTCTTTCAAGTAAAGGTTTACTTCAACTTTATTCCAAAAGCGCTCCGCAGTCGGACTCTCGCTATCACACGAAAGCGCAGGTGCGAAGAAACGCGCGAAGCAACGCGTTCTGGTGCAGTGAGCTACGATATCATGACTCAAAGTCACGACTACAGACGCAACTCTTCATCATCAAACACAAAGGCACTCAAATTAGCATTTTAAGCGACTTGTAGAACAAAAAAAAACGACCAAAAGTAACCAACCTCATTTTTCTCTATCGGTACTTCAAAGTGATCTACATGATTCTCTTTGTTATCGCCGATGTGCTGTTCACCATTTACCATTGCCATGTCGAAGTCTGTAACTATATGTTCACAGTTTGCCATACAGTAGAACTGGCTACATTTGGAATGGAAAAATAAGAGAATAAGTCAAGAACGTGAGAGAGCGTTAAACTTTTTGATGGCTTGCGGAATTGCACCGTCCTATAGAAAGCTATCTGCTCCAGGATATCAAGCGAAGGAAACGGCTATAGGTTCCCGGCAACTGTGTCCGAGACTGCAGATGTTGGCGGGTTGTCGAGGTTGCCGGGGTCAGAGACAGCCTAGAGAGCGTGAGAAATGTGAGGCTATCATGAGGTTCTAGGACAACCGGCAACGCTTGCAACCTCAGCAACGCCGGCATCCTCAGCAACCACGGCAACCTTTGACACAATTGCCGGCAACCTATGGTCGTTCCCAAACAGACCTTCCCCCAGACCCTTCCAAATAAAAGTTAGAAGAAAAAGTAATTACAAAAGGAACTCGAAAAGTAAGCAAAACATGGTGCAAATGTAAAAAAAGAAGAAAATTCAAACACCCAAGGTGGCAAAGCCGTTAGCTTCAAATCTGTGAATTCAAAACAAAAACTCACTTGCTTGAGAAAACAGCAACACGACTTGCCACAAGTATTCCAGGTGCTCATGATAATCCGGCGGCTGTCTGGATTCGTCTGAATTTCGTGGATGACGTCCGCTAATTGATCAACACCTGGCTCTCATAGTCCGCGTCTGGGCCTTTGTACTCGGCGCCAAAATGTCGCCACTAAATGGAAATCGTTCAACGCTGCCGTATTGAAGCGAAAGTTGTAAAAAAGATACCTGGAAACCGTAAACTGGACCACGCCTTGTGCTCTGCCTGTGAATCCACCCGCAATCCGTTTGCATCCCATATCTAGGTTGAAAGACACTATAGTGAGCAGAATGTCTCTGTTGGTATTAAGGCACTGTCAGACCTCGTTTGAAAGCGCCCAAAAGCGCTCAATTTTTCTGATCTCTCTTCACATATTTCCACCTTTCCTCGCTCCGCGCTAACCTGGCGCTTTTAGTCTAGCGCAAGACTGTGAGGAGAAGAGATGTAAGGAGTAATCAAGGACTTGGATGCTTTTGGGCGCTTTGGATGAAGGTCTAACAGGTGCCTATGGGCAGAGTTCACGCAATTTCATCGAATCGCAGTTCTCCCTACAAGCCAACAGTCACGAGTCGACAGTCGATCAACATGCAATGGACTCGTATGTTGTTTCGTCGGGGAAACGCGAGGAGATGAAATCTCCTGAACTCTGCCCAAGGCTTAAAGCACTCTTTATGAAAGCGATAAGAAACGAGATGAGACCGAATAAGCTAAAAATGTGGTAATATGGTACATTTGCAGACGATGCACTTTCTGATTGGAAAATACATCACAGCCCATAACGAGAGTGGGACTCAAAGCGCGTATCTCGCGCCTCTGTGTTTTGACAATCTCTCGAGCACTACCGTAACCCAATATTTTTTGGCCACACTTCCCAGCATATGCTTCGCAAAAACCATATGTATTTCCTTCTAAAGAAAAAGGTTCGAGGGGAAACAGCTACTACGGAGAGAGGAAGAATGAATCTATAGGATGATATGAAAAAGGCAGCTGTTTGAACGTTTTGAAGGTAAGTTAATGGGGTGCGGCACCCCCCTTTAGAAGCTGCGGCAGCCGCAGCTTTTGAGGGGAGGGGCGCACCCCATTAACTATATGAAAAAGACATTTTTAGTAAACACTATTTATATGAATCGATAGCTTAAACCTCGTAGATTCCATAGGAATGTTTTGAGCCTGATTCGTCTTCTTAGCTCTGAGTAATATTTGGTGAAAGCACAGCTGAAAGCGAAGAATGGGAAAAATGAGATTTTGGTTGGCTTCTAATTCCACAGTTTGGAGGTCTTTTGAAGCGGGATTTCTGAGATGGACAAAGAAGGAGTAGTGCTTTGTCTTGAGTGCAAAAACGGATAGCTAATTCACTTTAGAAACAAAGTTGATTGTGTTCGAAAATGACCACTTCACTTGGGTGACCCAATACTTGGAAACCTCAGAATTCGCTGAAACTTGGCCCATAGGGGTTCTTTGACATGCTAAATACGAAAATGATGCTCTCATGCTTTTAGAGCTTTCTTATCATGCTTAATTTCTGTATAATGGTAGGCTTACCATCAGTGTGCTAGTGTTTGGCATAATGGGCCTATCTGACATTGTTTCGAATATTATGTTAATGCTTACTCAGTACAGCCTCAATAATGCTCCCTGACCTTCCAATACGACCCCCCAGGTGTGGCGTACCGCACCCCCGCTTTACCCTGGTTATAACATCTAATCACATTCTAAAACAAGTTTATTTGGAATCTGCAAAAAGATTTGACTTCAGCTTGATGAGACGATTTTTTTAGTATACATTATGATTTACCAAGTTGCATTGTATCGTACTGACATGTGTTATGAGATTATCAACATGTATTGTTGCTCATATAAACAATTTTTGAAAATAACAAAGTGGTATCGTATGTCTACCATACTGTCTACCGTACCAAACTCAGAGTTTACTCCGAGTGTTCCTGGAACTCGGAGTTTCGTACTGCTACCATAGTGCGGAGCCGCCATAGTTGTTGCGGAGCCGCCATACGCTTCATTGCAAAACACTTTGTTAGAGCCGAGGCTTGAACTGTAGCTTCTCGTCGCGCCGAGCCAAATACCAGCACACTACACCATGGAGCCATATTTGTGAAATGCCGCTGTGGTAATGAATCCCCGTGTTCAGGATCTCACATGTCAAGACAGGTCGAGAGGCATACTTGCCTGTGAGGTGCTTGGCAATAAGGTATTACTGCTTCTCAAAGTGTTAGCGGGGTGAAACATAGACATAGACCGTAATCGAACAATTCGCCCCTCCACTCTCCCATTATCTTGATATGCCAATATTGTTAAAATTTGAAAACCCCTAGTATTAATAATATCTAATTTTCAAATTTCGAATGAACCGCATCTAAATTTTGCCACTTTGAAATATCTTACCATGAGTTAGGAAAATCGACTTTTGAATAAAAATAAAATTCTAGAGCTTATTTGAAAGTCGAGTGTCATTCGAATTTCGATTGAGCTTTGAGTAATATAACATTTTCCAGACAACTTCTCGAGGTTATTTCTTTTAACATGGCAACAAAAACTTTAAGAAGCAAAAATAAAAAAAACTGGTATTATACTTTTTTGCTACAAATTTTCGCCCTTCTTCCTTATATTCCCACCGTATCTTACATAATCCTCATTGAAAACGGACACACATTGATTGCCTTGCCAAATGAATCTACTGGCGGACTTTCAGGCCAGTTTAGTCTACCACACCTATTGTAATCCCATCGCGCTCCTGCACTCAGACAATCGCCGGGGGCAGGCGGGCACCGGAAAAATAGATTGG